AACGAATTGCGTACACTGCAGACTTCGTAAACCCCATTATGGGCCTGTATTTTCTTGAACAGTCGAACTATCAAAATAGCACTGGAAGTCAGGTTCTTGGGCATGACTTTCGATTGCAAACTGAGATGGGCAAATCACTTGGAACGACTGATCACAGTGTGTAGAAAGTCGCTTGCACACCCCAAATGGAGAGCAAACCCCAAAACTCTTCTCGATGAGTATAAAGCCCTGATTTTGTCACGAATAGACTATGGGTCGTACGCATATCTTACATGCTGTGATACAACGTTAGACCAACTAGGCAAAATTCAAAAGCACGTCCAGGCAGGTGCAGATAATTGGGCATCGGCCATAGCGGAGTTTATTCAAACTAGGAGTGTGTTACAATGGTTGCTATCGTTGAGTGATGTTGCTATTCTTTCTTGGGTCCTTTCTTTTGCTTAAATTTATTATAACCATAAGAAACGTTCGAACACCCGACCTTCCGGCTATGTAGCCTAACGATCTACTACTGAGGTACATAGTCGGTTTTCAACATACATAAACCCAATGCTTGTAATTTTTCGTCGCTAAAATTGTTATTCTCTACAGGGTGTCTTTTGGGAGCTTTAGTTAAACGTTTCTGGGAAAGTAAAATAGGTAGGTTTTTGAAAATTTGTACTTAGGAGTTACTCTGAAGGCCGAATCGATGTAAAATATTTTCAAAATAGCCGCACTTCCGGAAACACCGATAGTAGATGGGAACTTCGTTATTTTAAATAGCAACCCCTATTTTTTATTGCATTTTCGGGTTCTACGTGAAATTTCAGTTCTTTTGATACCCACATGTCGATATCTGCCATTTATGGTTTTTATGTTATTTTGACTTTAAGAAAAAAAATGCCGGATGCAGATGGTACATTGATAATTGATTACTTGAAAACGGTTGTAGTCATGGTAATCTATTTTTATCAGTGCATAAAGAATGAATAGGGCTTACTTTTAGTGTACGACTGCACCTATGGAGATCCAAAATTAGGAAACTTCAAAGTCTAAAAACTCACTTTTTTAAAATGGAATGACCATGTTCTTACTATTGCATGAGATAGAGAATCGAAATTGGCATATTTTGATATTACATGTTCCTATAGCTATCTTTAACAGTTTCTGACTTATTCCCATTTCATTGAATTGACATTTTAAACTTGCAGACCTGGTAAGTTGCTTCATTCATTTGGTTTTCCTCCCTTGCCCCCTTACCCTTACCCTTCTTGCTGAAATAAATTTATTAATTATGGCCATTGTAATAATATACCGGTGCTTACTTACGTTACGGCGAAGGAAAGAGCACATATGCAAACGAGAACTACGATGTTTTTCAGTTTTGGAATGATGAGTGGTAAGGTTGACTCGATCGCTGGTTTATATAACTATAAATTGTATGAGCAATTTACGTTTGCTAAATTATAGTTACTCACATCGCCATCCAGTTAAAAAACATTCCGGTAACCAAAATCCATTGTTAGACTTTCTTACGTTAGTTGAAATTGATATACTTAACACTTAGCACAATTGATCTTTTTACGTGAAGTTTCTGAGTAAATTCACCAAAAATTGAGGATGATTTTCCATTTTTTTCGTATTGTGGGGGGGGGGGGCACGGGAGCGCTTTGTTACTGCCAGACATGACCTTCGAATTTATACAAAACCGTCATTTATGCCCGATTTGATTACAATGGTAAATAACTATACCTTGCAAATCAAATGTGGCTGATATTCTAACGCCAATGATTAACCTTGGTCATCGTTTGTGAAATCGGACAATAGTCATGTAGATTTTAACAATCTTAAAAAAAACTTTATTTAATGCTTCCTTCACTACTAAGTTTTTATAGATAGACAGATTAGTTAATCTATTAGTTGTTACATAATTACCCCGCTTATGTATCTCACCTAACCCCCATGTTAATAGCGTGTAAAGGAATGTATTGATCTGATATTGATAATGTCATGTGAAATTGTTATCCATTCGTAGTCGTGATTTTCCAATACGTTCCTTTTGCTTTGGTAGGTGATCTCAAAAATCCCAAAAAGACCAGGTTAAATTTGTTACACGAAACGTGATTGTAGGATTTCAAAAAATATATTATGATTATGTCATTTTTCTCTAAAGAAAACACGATTATTTAATATTGTAGTTTGATAAAAACTACAATTTATTCGTTATTGTAGTATTGCCAGTAAGTGACTAATCTTTCAGGGTTGATTTTATTTTAATTGCTCATTTTCATGTCAGAAGTCGTTTCATTCAGCACCTTAATTGCTATTTTTATGTATTTTTTGATTTAAATATCGTTGAAAATCCTTTCCAATCACACATTTTAAGAAGTGCTTTATGAGGTGTAGCTAAGGGGTTAGAATAGGTATTTTTAGTGATACAGAACATCTCCTTACTACCATGCTTCGGAGGGCATGAAAAGCTGGAGGTCCCGGCAGTCATACCACAAGTCACAACTGTCGTTTAATCATTTTGAGTTCATACGTAAAGACCCCACCAGAACAATTAAATAATTTGAAAAAAAAAGGCATTAATTTAGTCGTCTGGACCATACGTCAACGTCCACATTGACATTGTTTACATAGCAATATACAAATCCGGAAAAATCTTTAAGGGATTAATAGTTCGGGTGCAAATTTATCCAAAGGATAGGATTCCTAGGGGTAATTTGCATGAGAGAATGTTGAAGTATTATGATTCAATTAAGCGGGGTAAGAAATTAAGTATGCCTAAATTTATGTTGGTAAGGGTTGAGTTTTCTTCAATGCGAATATTCTTACAGCGAGATTTTGAAGGAAAAATCTAAAGAAAAATTAATGCTATAGAGAACAAGAGCGGACATACCTACATGTGCGATGGGTCGGTAGAATTAACTAATACGATCCTATTTTTGCAAAAAGCAAACAGATACAAAATTGATAAGCAATTTAAAGCACACTCGATGCCTTTTTTTCATACTCTTTTTAATTCTAATTCTCTTTCTATTTGTTTGGTGTTTCGTACAACGTATGATTATTAACGATGTGTTCTATTAGGTAATTATCTTCTTCTCGAAGTCCACAATCCTAGAATCCTAGGTCCTACGTCCCTAACAATTTGGTCTACGTATCTAAGCCTCTGTCATCCTACTCCTCTCTTGCCTTCTGCCCTACCTTCTGTACTAATCCTCCGTGCCTGAGCACGTGCCCTATTATTCTATCTCGTCTTCTCTGTACGGTTTTCCACATTTCCCTATTTTCCTGTACTAGCTCCAAGGCTGCTTCGTTTGTCACCCTATCCATCCAGCTAATCCTCATTATCCTTCTATAGCACCACATTTCGAATACTTCTGTCCTACTTTTGCCTTCCCTGCTTATCGTCCAGGTTTCGCATTCGTATAGAGCTACACTCCGTATGTACGTTTTTAGCAGCCTTTACTGTAGTCTCTAAATAGTATTCCTTCCGTACAGTTTAATTCTGTTTCTAGATCCCTTTCTCTTTCTGCTAGTATTACTATGTCATCCGCGTATCTTGGCATATGTACTGTTTCTCCCTACACTTTGACCTCTCAGTTAAAATCCTGCTTTACTCTATTTATGGCTTCCTCTATGTAAAGGTTTAATATTGCCTGCGACAAAGCGCAGCCCTGTCCAACCCCACTCTGCACCTTGGCCTCCGCCTCTCCACCCTCAACTTTAACCACCGTTCCCTGTTCCTTGTAGAGGTTGTAAATTACCCTGATATCTTTATATGCTATCCCTGCCTCCTTCATTATCCCAAATTAAGGGTTTCAATCCTAATTATATGAGCCAAAAACTAGAAAAATAATATACTAAGGCGTCTTTTTGTTTTTATAAGGAGTTCTACATCTCTCATCCACTTTTGTTTTTCCCCGACGTCAGATAGAAGGATCTCGAAACATGTGACGATAGAAGGACGATCAAATGGGGACCATCAGTTGATATAACAATGCGCATTTATTAATACTGCTAGGAAAAAAAAACATGACAAAAAAACGAGTATATCACTTAAATCGTTTGAATCGCTTTTTTTTAAAGTCACAGCTGAAAATGGTTTATGTCGGAAAATGAAAGTTTGTGATACCTCAAAAAATATAACCGGTGGAAAATTTGGTTTTAGGCACATCACTAGGTAGATACTTTTCCTTTTTCCTATAAACAGTGTGTCCATATTTCTACCCTCGCCATGGTTATTTCAATCAATAAAAGAGATACACAGACATTTTGCAGAATGGCGACCTGATTTCAAATATTTTAAATTTGATTTCAATTTTCGTTTTCAAAGTATATGAGAAAAATGAGAATTCTCCTGTAAGCGACTCAAAAAGCACCAGAATTTTCCAGCCCATTCGCCTCATCCAAATGTGTAACCCCACCAAGGACTAGTAACCTCGTTGTTTAAAGATAGTGAATCATATATAATGTGCTTTCTTCTTTTACTCAGCGCTATACTTCTACTAAAACCCACTGGCTAACGTATAGATGATTGTGTGCCAAAATGAAAATCTTCCTTTTATGTTTTGGTTCTAAAATATGTCAGTACGTTAGTCACCAGCCAAACAAATTTGACTACGCTTCTTTTGAATTAATTGTTTCCCAAACTATGACCTGCACGCTAAGTAGATCAACACTGTCACCATTATCAAAGCTGGCATTAAAAAATTTGATTTGTCCACTGTACCAACATAAGAGAAGCGTTAGAAACAATACAATTTGCACTTTCCGATATGAGATATGGAGATACGTAAACACAATCTTCACAAATGTATTAAAATACCTTGCATCGTATATCCCAAAAATTTCAAGAATGCGAATTAGCTAGAGGTCCTGTACCTATAAGGGTTTTAGCTTTCACTCAGTTGTTATGGAACGGTATCGAATTTAACACAGAGGGGCACTTATTTGCCCATGTAAAACTATAGAGGTACATTCACACTAATATAAAATAAAATAAAATCATCACATATGGATAAACACAATTTATTCTATTGCAATGGGAAATTTAAGGGTTTTCTCAAACTGGGCAACCCCCTTCTCCGCACTCGTCTTTATTGTTTTTCTTCATTTCCTTCATTTTCTTATGAATATTAACAATCAGACAGGCTGCACCACTAGCATTGGTTTCTGCTTGATTACTACCAGTTTTGGTTGAACATTCGTCTACGAATGCACAGTCCTGAGTGTAAGACTTGCATTTTTCCCTAATGTAGTTCCAGTTAACTGTACCATCACTTGTTAAAGCACCAATTTCTTTCACAAAGCATTGCGCGAATAATTGGAATTTTTCATCATTAAAAGCACCACTTTCTATTACCTTCTTGATATTACCTCTATCAATACCCTCTTTTTTAGCACAGTCTTTAAGGATTTTAAATATAGTATCCTTTTTATCTCCGTCTTCTTGCTAAAAGTAACATAAATAAAAGTATTTACCTTAATTATGTAGTAATTACTCACAGCTACGGCAAAAGCGCAGAGACAAGCTATAACTACTAGAGTCTTCATGTTAACAACTCACAATGATAGCTGTACATACATACATTGGTTTATATACAATTTACAAATAATTCATTGCCCACTACGGTATGTTATTAAATTGCGCATAAGTGGAGGCTACGTAACCATACCTATTCAAATCTCTAGTAAAAAATTTAATGAAATAATTCGAATCCTTTGTGTTCTTTACAAAAAAGGTGTACGTATTATGTTAAATGGCTAAAAACGGTAATGATTCTTTGGTGAGCCATGCGACAATTTGCTACTAAAAAATCACACTTTTTGCCCAAACTACAAGTTGCTCCGAAAGAACTGAAAATTCTCATTTGTAAAATTTACTTTTTATTTGTCTTATTCCTGCCGTAAATATATTGCAGAATTATTATAAACTGCCACAATAGATAGGGTGTTCTTATTTAAAAAGTTATGCTGACGTATACTTCGTAATTAAGACATCATGATGTATTCAATTTAATACAAAACCGCGCATGTAAAAGTACTAATCCTTATGTGTGGAATTGTAAATGAAGGGTATAGTAGTAGAGTTAGTAGAATGCTCGACGACCTTGGCTACAATCCAGTCTACTTCCCTTAACAAAAATTTTGTAAAAACAAAATCATGTGAAGTTTGTTATCGTAAATGATCAATACAAGACCCAAGGTTCTTTAATGGTCTGTTCTGGTCTGTTTAGATGCTTATTTAAAATATCCTTATGGAAATACAAAATGTCGCATAGGTTCGACGTAAATTCAAAAAAACTAAAATTGGTCATTTCCTTGAATGTTTTGGGTATATCATCGAAAGTGTAAGAGGTATAAAAGTTTTATATTAAAGTTATTGCCTTTGATACGCTTAATTTAGAATTGAAGTAAAAAAAATTCAATATGGGTACTTTTGAGGAACATTTACCAATTTCCTAAAGTTAAATAGGCGCTATATTATAGATTTTTTAATTCTCTTTTCAACGAGCTATCATAGCATAAGATTGAAAATAAGATACTAGTTATATCAACGGTTTTTATATTTTAATCAAGCAGTCTGTGATGAATTAAAAAAAACAAAACAAAATTTATTCGAAGCAACAAAACAATGAAAATAATTACATCAGATGTTTAAAATATCAGGGGCGCATTCATGGGAGGGGGTTTAGGCGTTACAACTCCCTCCAAAATTTTGACTTTTATGACATCACTTATTGATTATCTTATTATCCATACTTACATACCTACAAAATGGTGGTATAACTACAAACTATCCCCTCGAAAAAATGTAATGCCATTATCCCGTTAAACACATTTCAAGCAGTGGCGTAGCGTAGCACGTTGGCGCCCTGGGCGCGATCGTAGTTTGCCGCCCTTACATATTTTAGGAGCTGGTGAACATCTTGAGTTCCCTATCGTTTATTTAAAAAAAAAAGAGTTCAAATTTCTTATTCTATTCTGGATTTGAGTTTTTTAGAGCGAGCGATTGTTTAGGGGGGTTGGGGGGGGGGGTCTCCTCTTGATATTAGATCTATATAAGCTTTCGTTTGATACCTATATGATCAATGTAGCAGATAAACAACACAGACTACAATAAAGACAGACAAAAACAATGCAATTTTTTGTAATGCGGTAAAAAGGATATACCCAACACTGCTTCTGAGGTCGAACCTAGAAACGCAAGAATCAAAGAAGATAATGATATTTGAATTGCTTGGTAGACATTGCATTTATACGATTGGAGGATTGAGAATAGAAGTCTCTTCGTCAAGTATTTTCGCCTCACTTTTTGTCAGATAAATCATCTTCAACAAGTCCGTCGTTGGTCATCGTCGTTGCTTACAAAATTAAAATTTAAATGTTCACACGATTTTTTTATCGTCTCCTACAATGGATCATGTTTAACGAAATATAACGGACAGACCAGGGGACAGACCATTAAAGAACCAGCTCTAAATGATGCTGCTGTCTCATTGTTAGGTCTGCTCTGGAAAAAAGCTCGAATTTTGAGCACATTAAGAACGTTTCTCTGTAACGTCTAAATACCTACGTTTAGCAAACGTTACATCATATAACACTTTATAACATCAGCATTTAACGTTAATTGAACGTTTGAAACAAACGCCAATGCGATTTAACTCTCTTATGTTGTATAAACGTGGTACAAAAATGTTTATTAAACAATACTAAATTACGTTTATATCATCCTTATACATTGACGGTCGGTATTATAGTTGTAAGCTAACAGTGTTGTTAAGGAATGTCTTAACAACACCGTTAGCTGACAACAAAGTTAAGTCTGGCTTTATAATATCGGCCGTCAATGTACAAGGATGACATAAACGTAATTTAGTATTGTCACAGATTGTGTACTTTAATAAACATTTTTGCACTTTGATACTAAAGTGCACAATGTAAAAAAATTCAAATTCAAAATAATTCAAATAATTTTTTACCAGAAATTAATGTATAAAAAATTATTTCATTCACATCAATCACTTCACAAAATTGTTAAAAATGTCCCACGATTATAATGAATGCACAGTTACACACATATTTTCATATCATCGAAAACTCATTCTAACATTACTGGTGTAATGTTCATTAGTTCCTCTTCGATTGCATTTTGAAGTTCCTCAGTGATGTGCAGACGATTTCGAAAAATATTGTATTTCAAAATCAGAAAAAAAAAATCTAACACAATCCTCTGCTAATTAATCGATCATCGTAAAACTGTTGTTCGGCATCACGGAGTATTTGTAAATGGAAAATACCTTGTAGGAAAACGTTGGATATCAGGAAATTCTTGATAGAATTGCTGGCGACAGGACTGAATGGAATACGTCCATGTTCCATCCTGTAGACTTGCACTTCGATAATGTTCCTTTACGACGAACGTGTCATGTTTTGGTGAAAAAGACATTGTGGAAGATTCTAAAAAAGTAAGGTTATACATCCATAAAATAATTTACGTCTTTTACTTACTTTTACATACTGCTAACGCCTAGGAGGAACCCTGGTAGAACTGTTTGATTTAAAATAAAAAGATGACCGTACAAGGTGGAAAATACAAAGAAAAATCCAACACGTAAAAATCGCCGTAAATGGATTGCTTATTCAGCTTATTTGTTGAAGTCGTTGTCGTTCATCCTTGATGAAAAACACCACAATCGCCAATGTCTAACCCAAAAAACTCCACAATTTTTAAGCACGTAATTCAAACTATCCTCCACTTATTTTGAATCACATCACTCAATTCACAGAAAACCAACATTCAACAAACATGTTAAACTGCAAATGAAGATAAACCGAGTGATGAGTCACCGACCAGCTATTTTTTCGTTGCGCAATGCCCAAAGGCACATTTTTAATATTACAAGAACGTTACTGTAACTGTGCAACTTAACAGTACCAAAATGTCGTTGTTGTAATGTTAAGCTTTTAAAAGTTGAACTAACGTAGTTATGTATGGTTCCGTCAACATACGCTAATAACATCACATTACTTAACATTATAATGACATCGCAACAAGGTTTTGCATAAAAACGTTGTCAAAGTAATATTGGTATAACGTTAGCCTTCTGAATGTTATTTTAACGTAATAATGTCCCGTTCCAGCGACGCAAGTCCAAAAGGTTACAATTTTTAACATTACAAAAACGTCGTAGAAAGAAAAGCCATTCAAGTATCGTTGGTATAACGTTGATGTTTTGTTTAATTGAGTTGTTTCAAAATGCAACATTCGTTTAACGTACCAAACGTTTTTTTAACATTGCTTGTCAAGTGGGTTTCCCCCTGAATAGTTGCAGAGATGGAAGTGGAGGGGAGCAATTCTCATCAAATTCACCTCTGCCCTTTTATGGCAAGAGAAAAAATATTGGCCTCTCTCAAAAATAATCCACAACTTATTGATGAAGCAGTCACGCTCCTGGGGAGCGACGCCAATTAAGATGAAGTAGCCTCTGCTAGCTGCAATTGCTGCAAATGTCTCGTGCCACTTTATGGGGATAGATAAGAGAACACTCTACTAAACCTTTGATTCAACATCACCTACCACTGCCAAGGTACACCTGGGTTGTCTGCCCCCAGCCCAACAAGCTGAGCTGCACATTCTTATCGTACCTATCACCAAGCGCATAAGTGGTTGGAGGTGGACAAAAAGTCAAACGAATGGGCTCAAATTGTAGTAAATTATGTATATCTAGTTTAAAAATGAATGAATGGACCATTTAGGAGAGTCCAAAAACTGAAGCCAACTTTTGCCCATGTTTTTTTCAGTTGCAAACTTGGATTTACGTCAGGCATTCCCTAATAACGCACCAAAAATGCATCTCTCTGCAATTTTTTGCGACATAAACTCCTTTTTGTTACCGTACCGCTGGCCCATATACCAACTTTAAACTATCCATAGTTGTAATGGGTTACCCGGCATTTAAACAAATTTAGTACAATTTTTTACGAAGCTATTTTTCTTTTCAGATCCATACCAATTTAGATATCCACATTAACCGCCTTCTAATAATTGGGACTACTCATTCCTTGCATACAACCACTGCATATTTTAAACACTATGCTATATCATTACCCACTTCTTATAGTGCTGGGGATGTGCTCGACATGTTATAGTCTTGAAAGGGTCTCGTCTTCTCAGGGTGATTAAAGAGCAATGGAACGAAAGCGAACTTCCCTCTTATCTTGAATTGGGGCTGCAGAAGAACTACATGTCAAATTAGTTAGTAATTAATTAAATTACATGTTTTAACAAATACTTTCATCTATTTTATAATGGTATTAGAGAAATATAAAGAGATCTTAGGTATCATTTGAAAAGATCCATCAGGATTTATGAATATTTTACCTCGTATTTTACTTAATGTAAGGGCTACTAATCACATACTACACGCAACCCTGTTGTGGATAAATGAGGAGGGTTTTTAGAACATGTTAGCACGGAAAAATGATTGTCTCGTAGATGAACTATCCGGTGAAAATTCTCTGTTGTAGCGAGTAAGAACATTTTATAGGTAATTAATTATTTCATTGTTGTTTTTAATGCCAAACACATTATCGATTACAGAGGAGCATCGACAGTGCACTTGGACCAGCTCGCACATCGTCAGTGGGATTGGCCTCTACGAACCCGCGAACGACGGACTCCACGGCGTCTACAAGGAGGTGGGTGCCAGTCGAAGAACCAGTCCACCAAACATCCTCCAGCGTTCCTCGCATTAGTCCTGCCGCGGAGTTTGATATGGCAGCTACCAGGTGAGTGTTCTTTTACATTCGTAAAGAAACGAAAATGACATTGAATTTGCACGGTAGCATTTTCGCTAATGTTGTTTTTCCCATTACGAAAAATCGATCTCATATTATTATTTGAGAATAAACTTGAAGTACGTAGGTAAATTAAATCCAATTTATTACTGTTGGTAGGCAAGTATTGATTTGGTCCTTTTTCGTTTTCGAATAACATACAGATCCAATTTCTTGCGTTATTTTTACGACGCTACCATAATATTCTTATTTGATTTAAATATGAAATGTGATTTCCCCTTTCTGATGGTGCTGCTGAGAATAAGAAAATCATTTTAATTTCGCAGCTGGAACATTTTATTTTGTTTAATAAAATTTTTAGTTATTTATCTGTGTAGGTTTCAGTCACCGGACTCAACACACAACCTACAATTTTAAGTTCATTGTCCATTTTTCGCGTAGGTTCCTCTTGACATGGTTAATGCTATGCACTTAGATATTAAATACGTGTAATAAAGAAATATTGAACTTACAACCGTAAACAAGGTTCAATATGTAATATTTAAGGCATCTCGATTTCGAGGTCGTGCCCAATACGGAAACTTGATTTTAATAGAATAATAAGACTGTGTTTCTCATTTTAGAGGTCCAAATGTATCGGTCTTGCATCTTCGTGGTGCACCTGAACCGTGGGAAACGAGTCCGACGTCGGCATTCACACCAAGTGCAGGTAGATCGTATTCATCGGGACGCAACATTCCGCCGCTAACGAAACATCAATCGTTGGGAAATCAAAGCTACAAGTGGGATGATTCGTCTAGATTTTTCACCGAAACGTCAGCAGATTTGTACGTGAAAAGTTCGTGTAATCGCGAATTGTCGCCAGTGCGTTGGTGTGATCGTGAGGTGGACGGTGTATATTTAGGGCGGTCCGGTTGGGTACAGGTGCAGCAAAGATCTCTTGATGATTGCAGAAAGTCTTCATACGCAAATCCAATTTCGGGATCGCTGGAACTCTCGCGGCGCACTGGAATCAAACTTGCAAATTATCACTGCAATAGCGAACCAGCTAAACGGCAAAACGGCGGAAGAACAAATGAGTTGCAAAGACCTGCCTATCTTCCGCTAAATACCCGCGAACAAGAATCTTGCAACAAAAGTCCATCCCCACCATTACCAGTTCAGGAGTGCTCACCCCCTTCCGTTACACCCATTATTTCTCCACCTCCCGCCTTTCAAGATCGAAAATCAAATAGTGGATCAAAATCTCGCACTTTCTTCGGAAAACCCCCATTTCTTCCCCGCTCAAACGCAATCGTTGACAGCGATATTATCAGTCCACCACCCTCGCCGCCAATGGAGAAGAAAATGACCCGGAACTCAACCTTACCGCAAGTGACTCAATCACGTAAAATAAAGCTCACCCCATCGCCAGTATCGAGACCCACCCTACCGTACCCTCGGATACCCCAAACAAAATCCTTAGAAGAAACTAGTAACAATCGCCGAACGCAATTCTTACAACGACACGGCGAATCCTCATCTTCCTCGTCATCGTCAATGGGTTTCCGAAGCTTAGACAGCTGCGTTAACCGGCCTACAATGCCGAAACTTTCCGAAAATACAGATTCGTCGATAGATATGTACGAAGATGCCGACGAAGAAGACAATAACAGCTCATCTTTAAATGTAAGCCTTATCTCTTCAATCGGTAATATTCTACCGTCGGATTCTCTCCGGCCTCGTGAGAAAATATCACCATCGGGCCGTACTCGTGTCCTGCGACCACATACGCGCAGATCACCGGCCAGTTCGGACACAAATAAACCGGGAAATTGCTCCTCGCGTAGTTCCTCATCTTCAAGTAACGATGGATTTCCGAGCCGATCACCGTCTGGATCCCAACAACAGTTGCGCAGATCGGCGCCACCGCGTCAACATTACAACGCCAAAACTCCCGTTGATGATCCGCAAAAAGTGCGAAGATCACGCAGTCTGCAGCTACCTGAAAAGAAACAACAATCGTCTGGTTACCGTGAACCTTCCGTTCCGCCCAGAGTTTCTCCGCAACCAGACTCGTACCGTGTGGTATCCAAACAAGGGATGAAACGGCAAACCGCACAATCGAACAAAGTGCAATCACTAGAAAGCGATGCTATCGCTGACAGTATGTTGAGAGAAGCCGAAATCGTTACTGAATATCTGTATGGAACCCGCAGTCATGCCGCCGCCCAAGCTTTACTAATCCACAGGTATAACAACGGCAGAGAAGAGAAGATAAAAGAATCGAAACCTGTCAGTAATAGCGGCGGTTTCGATGTGATATACGTCGGTAATTCGTCGCGTGAAAGACAAAAGATCTTGCAGAGGTGTGTTACGACGCCCAACTCGAGTTCAACAAAACAATCGTTTAAAATCAGCCCCACAACCGAAACCGGAAATACTTGCAATTCTAGTACTTGCGATTTTTGGCCCCACTGTGCACATCGAGATAGTTTGAATAGCAAAGCGCAGTCAATGATGCGACTTTCACAAAGCTACCCCAGCCATCAGCGATCGCTAGACGTTGATAATAATCGTCCAAACATGGGTGGTGTGGAAAGAACGAGCCAAGAACAACACAAAAAGCGTTCAATTAACTCGAAAAACGTTATGGATCCCGGAAATGTGTCGCACGTGCAGAGGAAGCGTAACGAATCGTTTACACCAAACGTTGACCATAAAATTCGCGAAAAACATTTAAGCCCGAATAAATGCAATGAATCGAAACGGGATTTGAGTGCCGATAGAAAAATTTCTCCGGTTAATTCGAAAAGTGCAAGTCGTTCACCGTCTGCGATCGGTAATTCGAGCAATTCATCGTCAAGCAGTGAAGTTTGGGTGACAACTTCCGACCGCACCGCGAGTAAAAGTTCGAAAAATGCCAAAAGTTCTGGTGCTTCCACGCCGTTAGATGAAGTGATTATTATAAAAGACGATCACATTAAGGAAATTATACTTACGCGACCGGGCAGTGCTCCAGCCGACGACGATATTAATGGCTCAATAGAGGCACAACAGCGATCGATGTCATTACCAAAATCGTTTCTTGCAGTAAATTACCAACAAGGGTAAGTACCTACTGTATTGTTTTATTCTTCGGTTATTTGTGTAAGCGACAGGAAGTAACAAATTTTTCTAATCCATTTCGATTAAATTGAGAAAGTAGCATTTTTAAATTAGCGTAGGAAAAAATTACATAAGCGACATTTCAAAACTTTTCACCAATTATAACGAATTAAAACTAACTTAAATGAGACGTTTGGCACACCCACAGTTTATAATGAGATACTATGTTCACATATCCCATTATAACAGAATGGTCAACATATTTATCTACCTATCATTGAATAAGGTCCAGATTCTAATTCAGCATTTGATGTAATATGGAAATTAAATTATACAGACTTACTAATTTCCTCGCTAATTTCTAACAGATAGGTACTTATGTCGAAATATCTCAGCACAAAGTACTTTTGTACACATCCGTCCTTGCTTAAAACGTTATGGTGATGTTACTTAGTATCGAACGTAAAATGTGTACTCCAAATCTATTTAAATAGGACCAAGAACAGTATGGGAATAAAAATGTGGTCCAACGATGGGTGTCCACCGTGACATCTTCCTTGCAATTGAAGAAATCGTCAGTGTTTTGACTATTAAATTTCCTAATATTATTATGCAATAGTCGGTAATAATATTCAGTACATTTAAAATCAAATGAGGTGTTTGCTGTTCACGTAACTACTTGGGGTCCTAGACAAAATTTGCTTTTGGACCCCTCTTTCAATTGCAATGAGGCACGTTTATGGAAGAATTCGCCAACATTTATTTGATTTCTTTTATCCTAACTATTGTATTTACTGTTTTGCTTTCTTCTACATGAAATGGAAATTTCTTCTGTACTGTCAAGAGTCTCAAGTATGTATCTATTCTACAAAATCGTTGAACGCCATACGTCTATCTACTCATATATGTATCATATCATTTTAAACATCACTAAAGTGGAGAACTCAGAGTTTTGGTACAAAACTAAATACACCACGAGCCACCAATATGAAATAGGGCGTTCTATTTAAAATAAGAAAGTTGCTATCCACATCCGGCAACACCGGAAGTTAAACGAGGATGATCAAATTTCCATAGATCATGAAAAACTATGTGGGTATACCCATTTTCAGATTTCAATTATTAATGGCAGTCTGAATACTTTTAGGTCACGGTTTGCGTGAAAGAGCCTGTATACGTATGTACTTGTTTACGGGCCATATAAAAAAATAAAGTTGATGACATACTGTATTGAGTAACATATTTTATTACGAATACTATGTACGGCACAAAAAAAAACAAAAATTGGTAACTGTTAGTTTCAACAAGAAGATGCACCGGCGCACAACATCCTAATCGTGTGAGAATACCTATACCTAGGGCAGACTTCCTGGAAAATGGAAAATTTATCCGGTACGTATACACGCACGATTAGGGCGTTGTGCGCGGGTGCACCATCCTGTTGAAACTAGCCATTTGAAATTTTTATTTTATTTTGTGTGCCATATCGTTGTGTTCGTAATAAGAACTGCGATTCAACACAGTGTGTACTTTTTTACGGGCTATATAAAAAACAAACTTGATGATGACTTCTCCGAAACGAAACGTTGTATTAAAAATCACTTAACGATATTTTGTAAAGCTCAAATTATGGCATATCTCTAACTTATCTCGGAAGTAATCGGAATTTTCTTGTTTTTTTTAAAGCATGATAATAGGTAACTTTTTAATTGCGCAACTTTTCTCTAATTTGGCCATCGTCTATGGTTTCAGAGATCCCCGTGGTAGACATCCTTGTCTTCGTCACTGTTTATGAATGTAGTATTTTTTGTTTTTCATAAAACATGGTAAAAATAGGTAGTAGGTAATAATCTCATTCGATATTGTTTAGATTTCTAAAACTCTCGAAACGAAATCGATATCCGCGCCACAAGTGTAATTGTCATGGAAGGGAGCAAAACAAATCAAACAAATGACCACCAACTTTCTTTGCCCTAGCTGCCACTACCCGAAAATTGTAAACAAAACACATATCTTGAGTTTCACCGCGTGCGACGTCTTCAAAAAGTGCAGTAGGGAAGCCTCTCATGCAGTTCCGATGCCAGTAGGTTATTTTTGTTATCATAAATGAATTCCCTGACCCCAGAAACATAAGTCTAGACACCTTACACGACCCGGTGTGCCTTAAAAATATAATTCGATCAAAAGTCTGTCATTTTCTAAAAATGGCGGCTTTTAACGGACTTCCGGTATCCGGATTACATTTCTGGCGCTACCATTGGATTCCTCGGGTTAAAATCATACGAAATCGACACCCAGATCTCGTTTCTAGGCCATATTTAGTTTTTAAAAAAATGTTACAATAAATCACCCCCAACCCCTCTAAAATCTACCCACACGGAAAATGTCAAGTGTTCTTCGGGTCAAATCGTTTAAATGGCTCTAAGGAACAATTGTACCAAGTGGCACCTTGGTATAAAAAAATGCAGTATCTTTCAAGAATTTCCGTTATACCGCTAGTACTATTATGCATTATACTCGGGGACGTTTTATTTTAAAATATTCAAAATCCCCATTAATCCAGGCTAAACTTATAGGGAACAGTACTACCGATATCTTAATAGATCTGTGTCATGAAAAAAACTTTTGGAATGTGTCAGACTATGACCGGATAGCGCAAGTTAACTGAGTAGTTTGGAGAAAGTATTATCTCTAGATGAAGGCTCAACAGATGTATGTGACATTGATTAAGTCTGCATATACAGCAGAGACATATACCCTGGAAGTAAAAACACCACCGACGGTCTAAATTACTTGCCAAACTGACTCAGACTTCTGCTTTAAAAGACCTTTGATGGTAGGGATATAAACCTCAATGTAGTTTCAATTGATCAGTGTATAATTCAGTACGCTCGGTCCATGTTAGTATTAGCGCCTTTTAATTTGCAACTAACTGGTCAACTGCATAATTATTTTCGTTCAAGACCAATAATTAAGCAGTAAGAATCTTTAACTGGAATTTTAAAATAGAAATAACGAATGCGTGCGCGCTTTGTAACAGCGTTTCCCGAATAATCCAGTTTTGTTTACAAAACAGATTTGCTAGCTTACGATCTTAAACACATAAACTAATAAATTATGATGGGGGGCATCAACAGAATTCGGTTATCAGACTAAACCAAGACAAAGGAGGTTCTTAAGGAATGGGTATTTAACTTGTAAAGAAAGTGGTCAGGTCAGTAGTCAAGCATACCCGTTTATAGGGGTTTGTTAATTCGGTGTGAATCTACTATCGAAATAATTCACTACAAGGTAAACTTGTTTCAATTACATTAATTGATTAAATTAGAGATATAATATTTGCGAGTAGCTATAATCAGATATAAATCTACGCCTGGCCTAATATGAATAAATGCAACAGATGGGGGCGAAATCGAATTAAGTTTTCTAATTACGTACACTGCTAGTAAAAAGAGAGTAAAAGACTCTATTATTATTATCTGTCAGAGGAGCCTTTGTGTCTCCAACGTTGGTACAGTAAACTGCAGGTCAATTTAACTCATAATATCCGTCCACGTTTCGGGGCCCAATCGTTTTCGATGTACTGGCAATTCAGGACTCAGTCAACGAAAAAAGTGAGTATAAGCTCCCCCGGTTCCACCATGTATCAGGAAGCACAAACTGACAAACAAAGCCAATCAAATCTGGGCTAAAAGAGTGGAGATCCGGATGTCGTAGCCTTCGATATCGCACCGACGCGACGGGTTTAGCTGCGGAGACGATGCAAGTAGTGTAGAAAATGCTTAGTATGCATCCATCTAGACAAGTGACAGAAAACTCGGAACCATTGTCTACGTTCGAAGAACCCTAGGAGGGTTTCAGGCACCTATCACGATAATTTAGAACGCGTAACATCCGGTTGCATCGTATATCAGGTTACCTTTGCTTATATGCGAGTGTGTGGGATGTCGTTTTGGCCTAGATTACGGTATGAAAGTAGTTCGCAAAAATGCCAACGACTCGCTTAGTATTTTTATTCAGGAACGCCTGAACCTCGATTCTGTGTTAGAAACCAGTAATTTTGTAAGACCGCGAGTTTGTTCTTCGATGCAGCCCTTATCCAGTTTAGTAACAATTTGACCACAGTTTGGTCAGTTTATGCTACTCAAATGATGAGCAGCGGAAAATTGGTTCTTACAAGTTTTCCAAACGGCAAAAACTTGAAATTCTTTAATTTATTGTGCTGGTATAAAATGCCAGTTGGCTATTCTGGAACACTGGTACTCTTTCTGATTGCCGAGCGAGATTGTTTCTTCCATTGCGTATTTATTGTAAAATGTTTGTGTGGATTGTCAATGAAGAGTTTCATTCCAAAGTGTTAATTCAGGAATAAACCTCGTTAACTCTTACGATGTCTTTAATTTACCATATCTCTGTGCAACTTCAAATAAAACAACTGGCAACCGACGATCCCTAAAATTGTATCTACCTTGAAATACCACAGGATACACCGTAAAATCTATGGTCCTAACACTATCATCTAGGTCCTAGGAGGTTTGAATATAAACACAAGTGTAATTATCCCTGTCTCACTGCAGTACTTACTATAACATTCAGAAGACAGCTTATATATGTCTGTGATCCAAGTGTTATTAGTGCCCCATCAGCATACTAAACAACTTTAGCAAAATATTTGAAATAGTGTTTTATGCTAGACTTCATCCTTCGTTGCGGTGTTATATCAGTCCCCGTCAACACGGATTTATGCATCAAAGATCGAGTGCGTGGCAATATTTACTCACTACATTACTGAGGAACTTGGTACCCACGGCCAGGTCGATAGAATGTCACATGCCATCCTACTGGCGAAACTAGACAGTCTTGGCGTCAGTCTTCCTCTGCTTCTCTTATTTGCGTCCCATTTGACGAACCGCACTCAACAGGTCACTTACAATAACTATAGGTCGAAAAACTGAAAATTTTTTGCATGCGACTAAACCACCGGCTTCTAGAAACATTGTTCAATTTTCAATTTCTTGTAGTACAA